TTTGATCGCAGGAACGTACAGAATCTGTTATATCGTGCCGCCGTCAATGCCAACAGCTTGTACTCTGACCTGCCGGCCACTGTCTACCGACTCACGCCCGCGCGATCTAGCGGTGACTACATTTACCTCGAGGAGACGCTTTTTTATGCCCGGTCGACGGCGCCAATTTTTTTCTGTGCGGCACTCGCGTCGGCGACAAGCACAGCGCAGTGCGGAGTCACACGGTCCCAACAAGGTCCGCTGTCCAGTTCTTATACAGAGATACGGTGGATCCTCAGGGGAGTGTGAAGGGGCAGAAAATGTATTGCTCCTGTTATCATTTGGGCGTACTTGGGAAGTTACCTCCATAATACTTATATATGTTCCCAACGTATGTCAATACAACTGAACAAAGAAATTAAATATAAAAAAAGAGAGAAAGAAGAAAATTTGCGCACCATTTTCTACAACACTTTCACATTTGAAGCACACTCACAAACACCCAACCACACTGACAAATATGCACACTCACTGACATACACATACATACACACAAATTTTCACCCAAAATGGTATGTGACAGAAGACCAAATTATATCCTTCGGGTCTGCTCCTTGGCCTCCAATGGAATATTCCTAAAGTAAAACGAAACTAAAATATGGAAATATGCGTTTTTGTAAAAAAAAAAAAAAAAAAAAGCTTCAGATAAACGTTTGAGGGTTTCTGCGGAGGCATCACGAGGTGACCTTAACCTCTGAATCTTTATTAGTGAACATTTCAAGGACAAATTTTAAATTTCAAATGGAAACCCGCAACGTAGGAATCAGAATGAGTAGAGAATTCAACGTTCAAACACAGTATGTATATAATAGACGGAATACTCGACCGATATTGAGAAGCAAAACCATTGGGGATATATTAGTCTATCTTCCGTTACAGACTTTATTAGTAGTATAGTACTGTTAGCGATCGCCGCTTCTCGCATCCCAGTTGCCACGTCCTTCGATCTTCCCAATCTTCCTCTTAAAGCTCTCGTTCCTTCATCTCCTTTTCTATCTCATTTTTCCATGTTTTTCTCGGTCTGACTCGCTTCCTGATTCTTAGAGGTAATAATTTTAAAACATCCACAACAGCGTCTCCAATAGTTCATTTCCATTGATTTGTTGCTCCTCGCTCTGTCTTAAAATCCAAACTTCTGAACGGTATGTAGATATACTTTCAACCAGAGATTTGTATATCCTTATCTTTGTCTTGTTTGTTATTTTTGGCTACACAAAACATGACTCAACTGTACGAATATTCTGTCACTACTTCCCTTCAGAGATCCTATTTTTACTTCTTCTGCACATCCACCTTCCTTTGATACACACACACACACACACACATACACACACACACACACCAAGGTACTTATAAGCTGTTCTATTTTTAATACACCTGCTCCCAATTATTACGTTTGTTCTTTGCGATCTTGCAACAACTATATATATTATATATAGTAATACATATATAACTCGGTTTTCGATGGATTTATAGTTAAACCCCAAGATGTATATTCTTCATTTAGTTTCCTCAGCATATAATCTATATCTTGTTCATCCTCGGCAAGAATAACTTGGTCATCAGCAAAATGAAGGGTAAATAAATTATCATTGTCAACTTGAATTCCCACATTCCGACATTTACGTCTCCAATTTTAATTGTAGCATTTTCATATATTTTGGAGAGAGTAGAAGCGATACAGCTTCCATGACTCAGACCTTTAAATATTTTAATTGGATTCGTTATCTTTCTTCCAATTTTGATACAACTTGTCATATCAATGTACATCTATTCAATTGTTGTTATTAATTGTATATTTATGTTTTGATGTCTAAAAACGTCCCATAATATTTTCTAATGGAACATTGTCATAGGCTTTTGTGAGATCTATGAAGACTATATGTGTTTCTAGTTTATGTGCTAGCCTTTTATCTATTATTTGACGAAGGAAAAATATTCCATCAATGCAAGATCGTGCTACCCGAAAACCATTTTGTTCTTCAACATCTTTGATTGCATTTTCCAGTCTGCTCGTTATAATTTTTCCATCTATTCTAGAAACAGAATTTGCCACACTAATTGGTTTATAATTTGTACATTCTTTACAATCTCAGTTTTTGTATATATTTGTCATATATGCTATCTTCCATTCTGTAAGAACATCTCCCACCTCTTACCATATAGTTGAAATTAAAGACTAATTGCTTGAATTATACATCTGGGCTACTTTTTATTAATTCTGTTGGTATACCATCTGGTCTAGCAAATCTTCCATTTTTCATCAACAGACTTTATAGAAGAATTTATTGTCTTGCAAAATTACTTTCGATGTTTTTAAACTCAGTCGTACAACATTATATTGATGAAATACATTTTTCGCTCAGCTCAGGGAAATGTTACATTTATTACTTCCGTATAATTTAAGAACATGCAACGAGCTGAAGGGTTGAAACGAATTTTATCTTCAAATTATGTATGGAGTTAATTATCTTTTACTTTATATAACAATTCATCAGTTAATGTTATGGCATTTACATTAAAAAAGATAAAGAATTATAAGGCTTTATATATATAAAGACACACACGCACACAGTCATACACACATAAGCGTAATGTCGTGTTTTACAAATTTTGTTTTGTAGTATGTTTTCCTCTGAATGTTAAGGTCGACTTCCGTAATCTTTCAATATAATGGGCATTCTTTTTCTAAAAATATTTTGTTTTCTACTGCACCTAAAAATTGATTATTATGCGTACGTACAATCTACTTTGTGTCTGACCTTGCATTGATCAGTGGACCAATTGCACTATTATATTTATCTGGATTAACTATTCTGAACTATTACTGAATTTAAACAGACATGTAAATCTTGATTTCAAGAGTAGAAAGCAAACAAACAAACCAGTATAGTGAATGAGTTGTGTAGTTTCAAACTTCTATTTCCGCAAGTTTTCAAAATAAGCAAGTAATAATTTAATTCAGATTTTGATCTCAAAGCAGATAAGCGAAGATTCTGGCCAAGGTTTATTCATTAGCCAGGACACGCCGATTTTTATCCAATCGTCGTCGTCCGCGTGCCGAAATGAAGCACCGCGCGACGGTGGGCTGAAATACACAGGGACAACTGTGTTAAGTCGAGGCAGCGCGACAGCCGCGGGGGCGGGCTCGTGGCGCTATCTCTCCCGCGGCCCCGTGCACCCGCACGGCGCTTCACCATGCCACCACCACCACCACCGACGATAAGCCTTGACAGAGGGGGGG